GAACCAAACAGATAATGACTCTAATTTTTCAACACGAATACCACAGTTGCCAACTCTAGATCATGCATATGATAATTCCTCTCATGAAAATTTCCTAGAAGCATAAGCCACAACTTGACTATTATGCATCAACGCACCATCCAGACGCATCTTCGAAGCATCACAATACACAACAAAGGATTTGCTCGGATTCGGCAAAATCAAAACTTGCGCATACGTCATGTTCTTCTTTAGTTCCTGAAAACTCTCCTTACAACGCACGTCCCATACATAGGCTTGGCGCTTTCGAGTCAACTGCGCAAAAGACAATGTCAACTTTGAGAAGCCTTCAATAAATCTCATCTAATAACCAGCCAAACCATAAAAACTTCTGATCTTGGTAACATACTTCATTGTCTCCCATTGCAACACAACATCGATCTTCGATGCATCTACTATGATACCACTACTGGACATTACATGACGAAGAAAACTTACTTCTTTCAACCATAACTCACACTTAGACAAATTCGTATAAAACTTATTCTCTTTCAAACTCTGCAATATAACTCTCAAATGCTGCACATGCTCTTCATCAAACTTCAAATATATCAGAATATCGACGATAACACAACCACGAACTAATCCAAATATGAATGGAATATTCTACTTATGTACTACATGAACACTTCAGGCATATTAGACACACCAAACGACATCACTGAATACTCATAGTGACCATATATTATTCTGAATGTAGTCTTCAAGATATTGTCTGACTTCACATGAATATGATGATAACCTGAACGCAAATCAATTTTGCTAAACACACATGCTCCTACCAATTGATCCATCAGATCATCAATCATCAGAAGTGGATACCTATTCTTGATAGTAACCTTGTTCATCTGTCTATAGTCAACACATAATCTCATGCTACCATCTTTCTTCTTAACTAACAACATTGGCGCTCCCCACGACAAATCACTCGGTCAAACAAACTTCTTCCCATTAACTCTTCCAATTGCTTCTCCAGTTCACTCAACTTTGAAGTAGACATTCTATAAGGAGCCATCGACATAGGACTAGTACCAGATACTAAGTCTACAACGGACTCCATAACACGCTCTGTGGGCAAATCACAGATGTCATCTGGGAACACTTCGGGAAATTCATACACATAGGTAGATCCGTAATCATTCTATCGCTTCCCCCACTCAAGGACGTGAGCACCATGAACACTTGAGCACTCTCACTGAAGGACATCTCTACCGTTCTCGCAGTCATGAAACTCGACTCTGTACTCTCTTCGACTAAAGAAACTTCACTGATTTATAAAAAGAATTGATAAGCACATGGTTGAACTCCAACCAATTCATTTCTAGAATAACATCCAGTTAACTTAGAGGCAAATAAACCAATTCAACTCCCAAATCTCTACCGTAAATGGTCAAAGGAAAATTTAAACACACCAAACAGGTAGTCACTGAGCCATACTTTCTTCGAGTTCAGGAAACAATACAGTCTCATCCAAAAACCCGCACTCTTGCAAACAGCGACACACTGAACCAACCTTTCATACCTCAATCATCTCACAGAAGCAGAAGTTCCTCCCCCATTTGTTTCAATCCAACTCCTACAAATAAGTTGTAAGAAAAGAAAGTGAGTACCGACAATATTTCTCTCACATGTCGCATACTAGAGAACAACAACATTACAAAAATCTGGTCGAACGAACCGACCTGCTCTGATACCACTATGTAACACCCTACTTCCCGACTCGACAAAATAGTATTTAAAAACATGTATATCACAAATATTCACCAAACATGATGCTACTCACCACCATCAAAATATTTTGAACCACATAATAATGAAACAACTCATTTGATAAGCAGTGGAAAATTATAATATGTTTGGCATTAAAGCCTTAACAACATTATGAGTTTAAAAAGTGGTTTAAAACATCACAAATCAACAGAAAAGATATACAACCTAAAGTAAACAACATAAAAACTTGTTCCTCTTGTGTTACATATCAGAGTGACTCCAACTATAGACTCGAACAACAATCAACTAAAGAGGCACAATATCGTCCTTAGCCTTAAGCCCATACTCGAGTACCTGATTATCTGTACTCCATAGGACGAAAAATGGCACAACATGAAAAGGGGGTGGGAATACATTCAAATAATAAATAATGCATAAAAAATCATTATAGATTCATATACTACACAATTATCTGCATATCAGAACGTACGTCAACATCATATATTCACATCTCACCCACATCACAATCCTTACACAATCATACACAAATAACATCTTCATCATCTTACATCAATTCATAACAAAACACACACGCGCATATATATATATATATATATATATATATATATATATATATATAAATGCAACTCACGACATAATGTGACACTTATGCATGTGGTACCATTATGGACAAGACATGTCTATCTTGCTCTTGAATCTCCATCATATGACCAGAACCCACAGATTCGCTACTATCACCATAAGTAACGCTTCGCCGATTTCCATCTAGAACTAGCTACTCGCTCCTGAATATCCACCATAAGACTAAAGCACACCAATTCGCTAGTATCAACATAAGTAACACTTCATCAATTTCTATCTAGAACCAACTACTTGCTCCTGAATCCATACCACCGGACCAGAGCATACCAAAATTGGACCGAAGTCTTTATACCATGATGTATGATTTTCAACGACATGCAATATCATCAAAATTATCACCATATAAACACCATTAGTATGCATAACATTATCCTAAATACACAACAATTGATCAAAACTATGATAAATAATAAACAACACCAAACAACAACACCTCATCAAATGTGTATCCACATGGCATTCGATCATGTTAAATCATTTTAACATCAACTCATCATTAGGTAAACACAATGATTCACTCAATTTTATATAAAATACACGTCATCACATATATTCCTACAGTGAACACACGACAACAAATTAATTATCTCACCAAATACTACCATGAGGTAGCCTTGCATGTTAACTTTCCAACGCTTCAAACGACACCTTGTTTGGACCTACAGAACTAAGGTAATGACCAAAATCGTTAGGGAATAAAACAAGTTTCTGTTTTATAATTTTTCAAAATTTAAACAACAACAATTGATTGTCATTTAGTTTATTTGCTCACTGACTTTTCAAAACACGCTTAAAATTCAATGTAATCGACTAATCCATAAAAAGAATCGATTTTCATATAATTTGTTTTCCAAAAATACACTGATGCAATCAATTGACATCATGTGTCAATTGATTAACATAGTTGAAATTTTCAAAACTATAAGTAAGCAATCGATTTACATATGGTGTCAATCGATTTACATCATGTAATATTTCAGAAAAATCCAATTTTCCCAGTCACGGTCATCACCTTGATCCACTATCTATCATACCATAAACCAGTCTTTATTATATAATTTAAAACACCACAAAATCACATTCTAACATGACTAACACATCAATTATCCCCAGTGTAACATTGATTCATAATTTTTATCATGAATTGATCCATCATAGTTATCCCCTAAAATCCCTAATTTCGACACCGCTTCATCATACAATCAATTGATTCAGGGACACATAAAAATACAACAACAAAACACAATTTATCACATCAATCCATGACAAAACAAAATTATAACATCCATCTATCACACTCATCATCAAGCAATTGAGAAAAATACATAATCCTATTAGAGGTTAAGGGAAACCTTTCTACCATTTCATGATATAAGCACCCTTAAATGAAAAATCCTCTCTTACCTTATAGTTCCAGCAAAAATCAGCAAAGCAAGCTCCAAGGAGTTTTCTTCTTCCAAGCCCTAAACTCCTTGTTTTCACGTATTGACAAAAATATTCTATAAACCTAATTTTCCTTGATTTTTAGAATAAATACTATTCTAATTAATTTACCATAATTATTATTTTTGTCCAACTAACACTCCACTTCTCTCCCTCGCCACTTTCTTCCCTGAAATGACATGATTGGTCCAACTTCTTATATATTACTAATTTCTAATTATTTGATTAATTAAATCCTACTAAATTTAATTAATCAAGCACAAATACCACAAATTTCGTCACTCGCCAAATATGTCACACATCACAAAATAATTATTTAAATAAATAAATAGTTAAATAAGCGATTAATTAAATCGGGATATTACACATATTTTTTTCTTCTTTTTTTTCACTTGAGATTTTAAAGCATATTGCTATTAAACCATGTGACATAAAATAATAATAATAATAATAATAATAATAATAATAATAATAATAATAATAATAATAATAATAATATTATTATTATTATTATTATTATTATTATTATTATTATTATTATTATTATTATTATTATTATTATTATTATTATTATTATTATTATTATTATTATTATTATGTTTCATGTGGTAAGTGGTGTGGTGAAATTAAAAAAAAATCTTTTCTAAAAAATTTTGCAAATTAAAAAAAACTAGTTACTCTTTTGACTTATCTCCTATTGATTATTATTTATCTTTCATGAATATATGCCTCAAATCTTACTTTTTTTACATTGAATTTGAGCCATGTAATTGGGGACCTTGTACCCTTTACTTTTCTCATTATGGAAGCAAAAGCAACACAATTTTGGTCGGCAGCAAACTTCATCTCTCATTGCATCGTACATTACAGAATCAAAATTCAAAAGATAATAAAAGACAAATCCACATGTGAACATGGGATACAAAATAGAACAACCTCACAACTTGTTAATATTATTTTTAACCACAAACATGATATAAATACAACACAACTTTTCTTAAAAACCACTCTTCCCTCAAAATTAAACCAAGACTAACAATTTTATACTCTTAATTATCCACCAAAACCTATCATATTTTTTGTTTTGTTGAACAAACTTTTCTTATCTTACAAAAAAAAGGAAGTGGAATTAATGTTCTTCACTTTTAAAAGGCAAAGTTCATCATGTCCAAGCTCAAGTTTTCCATCATAACATTCTCTATGAATCCACACTTAGAAGGACTCTTCTTAAAGCTATGGCTTCTAGGCTTGAAAGAGGCAGAGCAAGAAGAAATGGGAATGATTGGAATGTTCTCACAGTTACAAAGCTCAATCATGTATCCATCAGGGTCATGGAAGAACACTTGGTCCACCTTGTTTCCTTCATCCTCTACCAATGCTGTAACATATCTCATTCCCCTTTCTTCTAATCTCTTCTTAACAAGTTCAACATCCGTACACTGCTCAAAACCATATTACAAAAAATTTGGTTAGCATAGCAATCTTCAATCATGATCCATGTGATCATATTTAAGAGATGATAGACTTCTCTAGCAGATATTTTTCATATACACCGAACACTGAACGAACTCGTGACTATATGTTTAAAAGACCTAATCTTGTTTTTATCTATGGTTCTTATCAAATATTTTTTATACACGTCAATCAGTGATCAAACTCATAACTGTATTAATGATCAAACTCATGACTCTATATTTAAGAACCTAATCTTGTTTATACCTACGTCTTCTAATAGATATTTTTTCATACACGCCGACAAGTGATCAAACTCATGAATATAAAATACATAATCTTGTTTTTACCTGTCTCCTAACAAATATTTTTTTGATCGAACTCATAACTATGTGCTTAAAAGACCTAATCGATTTTACCTATATCTCCTAACAAATATTTTTTCATACGCATCGATAAGTGATCAGACTCATAACTACATGCTCAAAAGACCTAATCTCATTTTTACCTGGAATGAGATATGGTTATCCTTGGGATTAATAGGCCTTGACTCATTGACATATGTATCAAATTCATCAACATCTGGATTCTGAATCAAATGTATTCCAATACCATAATTATAGAACCTACACATAAAAAAAGCATATGTAACTACACTAATATTTTATGTATCAAGAAAATTAATATATAAAGTGATGGTAAATAATAGCAAACCATGCTCCAGTAAATTTGAAAGAAGATGGTCTTTTGATGGGGACAAAGCCCAAAACATCTTCATAAAACTTCATAGAGTCCCACACTGATCTACACATAAGAGAGACATGATTCAATGAGAGCAATGGAAGTGCTTGTGCTTCACAAACTTCTTCAATCTCCATTTTCAACTCTTGTTTCTCTTGATGAATCATGCACTTGCAATGTTCAGCTTATTATAGCTTTTCACTTTGCAGTGAATCACTCATTAACAAATACGGTTCTTATATAAAGATTGAAATTTTGTTACCATCTAGGAAATTTCCTTAAGATGGTTCACATATACTGAGAAATTTCGAAGATATTTCCCATCTCAAATTTGGAATTATTCTCTCATATTTATTCATTAAATAATATGTACAATACTATTTTAAGTTAATAGTGAAGTTTCCTTAAAATAAGATAAAATTAAATTAATTGAAAGGAAATTTACTTTTTAATAATAATAAGATATGAGTAAAAAAATATGGAGAAAATCAACTATATATTTTGTAAAATTTAAAATTTAAGATTTATTGAATAATAATAAATTTTTAAATATGGTGTATTCTATAAAACTCATAATAGAACATAGAAGTTAATTGATTAATTATTTAGAGTTTGTCATAAGTTGAATAATTTGTTAATATCATTTTCGTAATATAATTCAATATAATGAATTTATTCTTATTTTTATTGTATTATTTAATCTTCTATTCATTCATGAAAATAAAAAATTTAAATTTAAAAAGATATAACTTTTATATAAAAAAGATGCATTATTAAAATTTATATAATTTTACATAATATTAATTGTTTTTTTAATTTTAAATTTGACTTTATTTTAGTAACATATATTGGGTCATTAATCAATGATAGTGATGAATTGTCAATGTAAAAAATTTTATACGGATAATACATAGTAATTAATTTCTTTTATATTTTGCAAATTTCATATATTGAGTCATTAATTTAGAAGAATTTTTCTTTGTGAGTCAACGGGATTTGTTTTTGTTTTTCTATGAGCATTGTGACAGACACATCATATATTAACAAAAAATTTTAATCTGACAGACACATCATATATTAACAAAAAATTTTAAGATAATTGACGTGTGAGTTATTTCTTATATTACCTCTGTTCTAAATTATAAGTCACTTTATTAAAAAAAATTATTTTAAATTATAAATCACCTAACATTTCTAATATAATATTAATAATATTTTTTCTAATATACCCTCAAATATTCATTATTATTTATTCTTACCTCTTCTAATTTGTCTCTTATAATTTGTGAAATGAAATGCCCAATGTAAGTACTTAAGCTACAAATGCCCATTGTAAGTACTTAAGCTTTCACTTTCAAATCAATACAAAACTCTTCCCTAATACATACTTTCAACTCATCCTTATTTTTTTAACACCGTGTGCTTGTTTTCTATTATGAAAAATAAAATAAAAGTAGTTAAAATTGAAAATTGGAATTATTTTCGAAAATATGTTAGAGGTGTAAACACTAAGAGTTGGGTATGAAAAATATAATTCCTTATAATATTGGACAAATCACACGTGAGCCCAAATTACAACACGACATGTATAAAACTCTTACAGGAGTTGCTATTGCTTCTAAGAATTGCAGCATTTAATTTGGCACCTCTTCAATCAAATCTGACACTCAGCGGTCAGCGGTATTTAGAGGTGTGCATGAATTATAAACCAAACCAAAACAATACTATATGGTTTGGTTTGGATCTTAAAATCATTTATATAAAATCGGTTTATTTTTTTAAAACCGATTTACAAGTGGATTGGTTCGGTTTCAAACCGGTTTTTAAAAAAAATAACAATTTTTTTAAAAATTAATTTTAAATCGGTTTCTTTCAAAACCAATTTTTTATTTTAAATAATCTAAACATCTCTGCAAAACCATTTTCCCATTTAATCATCAAAAACACAATTTCACACAAAATCGATTAATATCTCCACAATGACAAACCAACTTATCAAGACTATTATTCCTATGAGAAAATTAAAATCAAATCATTAACAAACCCACTAGAAGATACATGAATAATTAAACTTTACACTTCACAAATACAAACAGTACTATATGAATTTGAATATATAAGTGAATGAGTATGATGAGACACATACACTATCTCACATTCACATGCTATGTTTAAAGCAGAAAAAAGTCTTGCCGATTTATACAAGTAAAATCTCACTTTCAATTTGACCCAACAATTTTACTGAGTTATATACGTTTTTCTTGATTCATTTGATTAAAATCATTGATGTAATTAGCATCTATTAATCATCATTAATTGTTAATTATCATCAATTTATATATATAAAAAAAAAAAAAAAACCTTCCTCGTATCACTAACCGTCCCCCACCGTTACTTAACCGCAACTTTCTCCGTCGCAGAACTATTTCGATAAATTCATAATTGTGATTTAGAGAATTAAGATACAAATGAGATTAAGATTTCTGAAATTTGTGTTGATCTTGATTTTTTCAACTATTATACTTTTATTTTTGAAACTTATTAAAAAATGGTTACCAAATCTCAAACCGGTTTGAAAAAATGGTTACCGGTTTTTTTTATTTGATAAATGGGGCACCGAATTTAAAATATAAATTTGGATTGGATTTTAAAATTTAGATTAATTTGGATAGAAATTTGGTTTATGGTTATTGGTTATTCTGCACACCCCTAGTGATATTATTACTTTTATACCTTTATAAAAAAAAAATTGAAATTTTCTATTTCACTTACCAGCGGAACTTTCAGAAATTTTCAATAAAAAATGATTTTTTTTAAGAAATACCAAATTTTTTTTTATAAAATCAAATTTCTTTTAATATCTAAAATTTTAAAATTTTCAATAAACTTCAGTATTTTTCAAAATTTCCAATAAAGTACAACACTTTTCGAAATTTTCGATAATTTATGATACTTTTTGAAATTTTTAATAATACTAAAAAAAATTATTTATTGAATATAAACTATCAAAAATTTAAAAAAATCCATAAAAATAAGATAACATCGGATTTAAAAATTGGGATGAATTTTGAATAAATTAATTAGCAAGGATTTAAAAAAATGGTGGGTGGGGTGTTTAAGAATGATTTATTATTTATAAAGGATAAAATGAGTCTGGGCAGGGTGGCCCTCAAGATTTTGTCAACTGAAGTCCGAACCTCTAGCAAACAAGCATATTGACTAAAAGGTTGAACTTCACTTGGGGCTTTAAATTGATATCTGCAATATGGAAATTAATTATTCAATCATATAAACTGGAAAACAACCTATGAAATTTTAAAAGTGTCATTCGTTTTGAGATACGCCATAATTTTATGATTAAATTTATTTTAGAAATATATTTTGGAAATAAATTTAATTATAATATTTCAAAAACAAATAAATTTGTGTGTTTGAAGAGCGTCTGAAAGCACAATTTTGTAATCTGAAGGTATTATTGTATTTTCACGAAATGTGTTAAAAAAACCTAATATATATATATATATATATATATATATATATATATATATATATATATATATATATATATATATATATATATATATATATATATATATATATATATATATATATATATATATATATATATATATATATATATATATATATATATATATATATATCCATTGAATAAAAATATCACAATTTCTTTAAACTATATCGATCGGTGTTCTAATATATGACTTAGATTCACAACAATACCAATAGATTATTCGGTGATTTATCTTGCTTGACTAGACCTCTTATAGTAGATTTTAGTAAAAGGGCGTACTTGGAAACGCTTTGGTGCTTAAGTCAACGATGATCGTAAATGATCAATTTTTAGGGTTAGAATATTGTGTATTTTAAGAGGTGACAATGTTAAATTTATATAGCATGAAGGCATGATACTAGATGAACCAAACGACTAAGTGGAGTTAGGTGATGGTTTTTGCCCGTCGTTTCATCAATGGGATCCATTGATTGTTGATTAGAAACCCTTTCATGGGGCTATTGTCAATTTGAATATTTTTTTTATTATTAATTAGTGTGATGACATGGTTTACTTGTGAACACAATCGTTTTGACATATTTAATATGTTTTTATACTTATATAGTGTCGTGGAGGATTCATAACTCTTAAAGGTTGTGCTTTGGTTATGATTTCAATGTCTAGTGTTATTGACATCCCAATGTCTATGAGAATAAGTTATCAATAAAGATGGAAATGTTTTCGTCCCTACCCCCGAGGAAGAATCCTTAAGTCGGGGTAGAAGTGGAGTCATTATCCATGGGCTTTATGGCTAGCAAAAAAGTGGGTCACTAGAAAGGGTTAGCATTCTCACTCAACCAAACATGTAATGGAGGGAGTATCCGACTTGTTGACATTGAGGGTCATAATTATTGCTCATCAAAAACATATGAGCATGGAAAGGGAATTTGACTTGCTGAAGTCGAGGGCCGAGATTCTCACTCTCCCAAGCGTAAGAGCTTGGAGAAAGAGTCTGAATTGTAATCCTATATAAAAAAATATTTACCAGTTTCAGACAAGCAAACATTAGTAAATATGTATATAAATTTATTAGTTGACAAAAATTTAAGTTGTCTGAGGTTTTTTGATCATTTAACTTGGTTGGATGTGAATCTATCTTGGTAGAGTATGTCACTCCTATATATATTTACATAAGAGCCTTGGGAGGTGGTTTCCCAACCATTTTCTGCCAATAAAAAGAAAAATGAATTGCAACAAGCTCAAAGCGAATGGTACTACTTCAAATAGCTATGAGTTATTTCTACACATGTATACTACCTATATCGTTCTCTAGATAAAAAGTATTAAGGCCTTTCTTATCAAAACAAAGAAGTTAAGTGAAGGAGCTTCGATTTCAGGGCCATGCAGGCCCTTATTGTCCGAACTAAAGATCTAAGCGAGTGAGTTGAATTTGCAGTTATAAAGGTTATTCTTGGCCCCTTTTATAACTTAAGTGTATTTCACGCATAATAAATGTTAAATACGCAGGTGATAATAAGATCATTCTTTTAGAGTTTCTATGCTTTTATTATTTGTGGATATATGTGTCGTGAAGGTATAACAGTCAGTTGGTTTTGATGATGACAATTGTCAAAGAGGTGTGAAGACAAGCTTCCA